CTTGCTAAGCATGAGCTCGACAGGGACTTGATCTCACCACCATGAGACCATGACCCGAACCTAAATCAAGAGTCAGGCACTTAACCAAACTGAGCCACCCAGGTGCCCCAATTATCTTTTTGGATTCTATGCAGACCATAATCAGGTGTTATAATTCATGTTTATTTCTGCCACAATTTTTTGCCTTCATGATTTTGAAAGTCTTCTCATATTTCTAAGTAATCTCAAACACTATAAGACAGCCCAAAGCATTATACAGATTGAGGAATCAGTTACCTAATTTGCTATGCAGTATGAAATCCAAAGATTTCAGTCTCCTAAACTTTAAAGAAAGTATAGCCAGCTTTTTTGTTGTTAATTTAAATTCAAATATGTAAGCTCTTTTTTATGTATGAATTAGAAAAGCGAAAGGTTATTTGATGAGAAAAATCACATGGGGAAATTCCCAGGGCTGAAGTTTCACACAATCAAGAGAGTATGTTCCTTACTTCTTCAAGGAAAAAATATTAAGTGGGTGCTTATTTTGATAACACACTTAAGAACTGAAAATAAAAATATCAGTCATAATTAAATAACCTATAACTATATATATTTTGATGTGTTTTCTTCCAATTGCTTTATTTGTTTTTAAACATATAAAAATAATATTATAAGTAAACCTCATAGCACAAATGGCTGACTACAAATGGCTGACTACTCCTTCTTGTATAAATATCTCAATTTATATAGTAATTATTCCTTTATGAAAACCTTTCTTTATGAAATGTTTAGGTCTTTGGATGTTTGGTGGTATAAATAATCCTGTGATTAACATAATTGTTCATAAGCCTCTGTTCACTTTTCACAATACTTTCTTATGACATATCCCCACAGAAGAAATTACCGAGTCAGTGACATGAATATTTTAAAGCCTCTTAACAGTTATAACACTGCTTTCTAGAAATTTTATTCATTTACTTGCCCAACAGCAATGTACAAGAATACCTATTAAGGAGTAATATCCCATAGGTGCTGGAAATGTGTTAACAGAAACAAAAAGCTATTATAATATTATACCTGATGAAACAGAAGGAGAGATGAGAATAAAATCATGAGTGTTTTGTACATTCCATTATGTCCTCTTAAACAGCAAAAAATGAGAGTAAGGATACATTACTCTTTAAGTTTATTGTTACCTTGCATTTTTTTTGAAGTGTGTTTTTTGCATATTTTCATAAGCTATTTATCTTTTATTAATTTCAGAAGTTATATATTCTGAATACAAGTTTTTTTGACAGATGTATTTAGTGCAAATATATTCTTCATTTATTCTTACCTTTTATTTACTTAGTGTTTGTTTTGATGAGCAGAACTTTAAATATTCTTCTGAATTCCAATTTTATGAGGTAGTCTTATTTCATTGTTAGGGCTTTTGCTGCTCTTCTTAAGAAAACGTGGTTATTCCAAGAAAGGTCAGGAAAATATTCTCCTGGGTTTTCTTTTTGAAGATTTATAATTTTAGCTCTTGTGTATAAGTCTGTAAATCAGCCCAAATTAATTTATGTGGATAGTGTAAAGTCCATCAAGATTCATTTTTTATTTTATTTTATTTTATTTTTTTAAGATTCATTTTTTAAAAAATACATTTATCCAATCTTTTTTCCAGCTGTATTTGTTGAGTAGATTTTTCTATAGAACTACCTTAGCACCTTTGCCCTTTGATTGTATGTGGTTCTATTTCTGGACTCTATTCTGTTTCACTGACTTATTTCTTTATCCTTATGGCAATGCCACACTATTTTGATTACGATAGCTTTATAATAAGTCTTCAAACTGGTAATATGAATCATTTCACTTTGCTCTTCTAAGGATGTTGTGGTTATTCTGTCCTTTATATTTGTATATAAATTTTAGAATGAGTTTGACTGTGTTTGAAAAAAAAAAACCTGCTGGATTTTAATTGGTATTGCTTTGAATCTATAGATTAGGGAAAACTGACATATTAACAGTACTGAGCGTTCCAAACTATAAACATATCTTTCTTCATTTAGCTGTTCTTTAATTTCTCTTAGCAAAGTTTTATAGTTTCATGGCTTCAGCATAGTTTTCAGGTTCTTGTATACCCTTTGCTAAGTATATTCCTAAGTATTTTGTTTTCTTCTCTGCCACCACTGACCCAAGATTGCCATTATTCCCATTGGACAGCAAGTAGAATAAGGGCCTGAGTAGTAAGAAAGAGGATCAGGCTTGGAGGAAGATGGAGACAAGTATCACAGGGAGGAATATAGTTTGGAAAGACAGAAGATCTCATGGCATGAAGGGAAGTTGTTATGGTCTGGATAGCAGGGCAGTAAATGACAGTGGACGCACTTGGTTCCAGGAAAGTCTTTGTTTTCCTATCATGGCCTATACTATCAGAAAGGCAATGTTTGAAGTTTTCACAAGAGTAGTCTATGCAAGATTGAACAGATCATTGAATGTGTGTCATTAATAAATCACCATATTATTAGCAGTAAAGATTCATTCTAGCAAATCATGGGAATATTTGTGGTTAAGCCTAGACCACCAAGTGACGAAAAATAATTATTTCTAAGAAGCATTTTAAAAACTACCTTTACTCTAAATTGTTCCAAAAATAACATGGCTATGCTAACAATAATAGGACTGTCTTTATCCTGCAAAGATATTTACTGTAATTCCTCTTGTGCCTCTGCAGTGATCTTGGATTGATTTTGAAATGCCAATGGGACTGCTGTTGACAGCTGTTGACATGTTTGTGGTATTGCTGCTGTTGTATTTTTGAGGCTGAGAAGATGAGTAAAAGTGCTCCACAGTACTGTGCCTTTTCATGCCAAGGGGTTGGAAAGTATTCAAAGTAGTGTTCAATTCTGTTAAACTCGAAGAAGATCTCATCTGGCAGTTTCTGCATTTTTATTTGTAATTAGGCCTAGTCAAGGGTAGCAGTGGGGAGAAGAGATGGTATTTCCAGAACAATGGATGAAGGGATAGAGTTCTCAGCTGAGAAGTACCTGAAGTCAAGGGAAATACATTAGAAACATTCTGGAGATGAGATAGTGGCTCTAATTTAATGGACTTAAGTGGATCGTTAGATTACAGCCAAAAAAACCTTTCAGCTGAATAACAAAGGATCAGGTAATAGGCCAAAAAGAATTTTAGTAAATCCTCACTGAATCCTTCTCTGCTTTTTTGTTCTCCCCAACTAATTGAATAAAATTGTATGTAAAGTACACAACGGAATGCTTTTAACATTATAGGTGTTCAGTAAGTAGTTCTCAGTTTCTATTCTATTTTCTTTCTAGCCTTTTTGCCCCTTTGTGTTTCTTTTCTCTTTGCATTTATAGATAATTAAGTTTCAATTGTTCAAACTAAGGCAAGTACAAAAAAAGAAATTTAAAGCATCAGATAAATACAAATATTTGGCAACTGAAGAAGAGGAAGTTGACTTCACAAATCTGTTAACAAAGTTTATTCCACATTCACAAAATTGAGACATACGAAAAAAGTTGATAGTATGTTTTAACCTTTTAGATTTTTGAGTGCGTTACTATTTGACTCCTTTTTAATGTTTATTATAAGCTAATTGATAACTCAAAATGCATAATATAACCTTACTAAAAAATTATTTAGCAGTATCTACTAAAGTTAATTATATATCTCAACTCAATGGCATAGCAATTCTTTTCATTGTATGTACCCAGGAGAATATTTATCTACCAAGAGATAAGTACAAGAAAGTTTACATCAACAAGAGCTACAAACTGGAAACAACTAAATGTTTAACAGCAGAAGAGTAAATAAATGAATTTTGCTATATATTACTGAAAAATAACGATGAGCAAAAGATATGAAACACAAAAGAATCATCTAGTATGGTTTATATGAAGTTCAAGTTCTAACAAAATGAATCTATGGTGATAGGAATCAGAGTATTGGTTGCTAACATGTTGGTAGGAGGAGTTAAAAAGTTTGAGAAGGAACACATAGAAACCTGTAAATTATCTAAAGCTTGATCTGGATGGTGATTCACATATGTGTCTAAAAATATTCATCAAGTTGTATAATTTGTTTACTCTTTTATAACCAAAGGTGTATGATTTTCATTCATCCCTAAAAGGTAAATGACACTAAATATGTAATAACATATACAACATAAAAATATATAGTATATAATTTAACATATATAAATGTATATGTTTGCATATACATATATTTTTTTTAACTAATGCAGGAAAGTTATGTTAATTTTTTGCTTTTAACAACAGGCCTTTCATGTTGGATTGACTTTCCATTCTGTGGAAATCATGGTGAACTGAGCTCTGTATTTAATTTTGATCCTCAAAGCTGCTTAACTTTTGATAATGTTTTTAATTGAGTTATTAATTGATTGCATTGATCTTATATAGATTAGAAGTAGCTTGAGGAGGTTTTTGGTAAAAAGAAAAAAACTTGCCCAAGTTTGAAAATTAACCAAGGGTAGGCTGCCTATTTAAATATTAATATATTTAATATATAATCTATAGTTACATATTATAGCATGTATGTATTTAAGACATAGGTTACATATACATATATATGTTATGTAATTATATATTTATATTTAAATATATGTTATGCATTTATATTTAAATTAGTATAAAAGCTGTCTTAAACTGTGCTTTATGCCTTTTATTGTCTTTTTTTCTCCTTATATTGATTATTCACTGGGAATAGATAGCACAAAGGACAATTTTGTGTTAAAGTAATGTTTTAGATTAAGACTGAAAAATACATAAAACTGAAAATGGACTATCAATGAGAATTTTTGGTCAAGTTCATGAAAAGTTTAGAAACTTTATTTTTGTTAAGGCGATTTATCCAAGATTTCTCATTCTACTCCTGGCTAGCAATTTTCAATGTGTTTATCAAAGGCCTTTTGGTTATGCGGCATGGTCTTGGGGTTTCTAACCTTTCTGACTCTTAAGAACTAATGTCTAGCTTCCTTTGGCCTCTTGAATTCACAGGCTGCCCTGCAAGTTGGGGGCCATGGGGAAAGGCTACACCAGTGTCGGGAGGTCATGCTGCTCACTTACAAATCCATCCCCATGCAAGTGGATGGGGAGCCCTGTAGGTTGGCCCCAGCTATGATTCGAATCTCCTTGAGGAATCAAGCCAACATGGTACAGAAGAGCAAGAGGAGAACATCCATGCCTTTACTCAATGAGTGAGTCTGCCCCTTGCCTACCTTTGTGAGCACAAAGACCATGGAGAGAACGCCAAGCATGTGCATGGTTTAGGGGCCTTACCATGTTGAGAAAGGAACAAAGTCCAAGAAACAGCAGTTTGTTGGTTTCTCTGACATATTTTTCTTCATGTTTATTACAGAGTGACCACACTCTTCTTTTAGAAATAACTACTATATCGTACACTAGAGAGAGAACTTTTCTGCATTGACCGCTTTGGTATATATTTTTTGGGAGCAGCAGAAAATCATTAAGAGTGATCTAGGGTCATAAAATGCATCAAGATAAATATGCTCTGTTTCGTTTTAAGAAGGCATGCTGTTGGCCTCCTTTTTACCCCGGTCACTTGGAGAGTGTTGGTTTCCCCAATAGCAGGATGCTGGTGGAGCTGGATGTTTGGAGCTCATCTCTCTCTATCTGGCATCCCCTTCTGTGTGTTAGTGAGTTGTCACTTTCCCAATACCCCCATTTTGGGGTCCTTTGGACTCTGGTGCTTCAACTCAATTTTGCTATTCTGAGAGGGGCATCCTATTATCTAGATATAACCTAACTCACTATTCAATATCTTAAAAAAAAAAAAAGGTATCCCTCTTGGACCCTTTCTTTTCTTTGTTGTTTTGATGAACTGGTTTGAGATAAGGTGATGATAACTAGATATTTAGAGTATATATTCATTCTATAGCACCCCTTCATCTAATTTTGTTAATAGAGAGGTCTACCTGGGGTTGGAGAAGGGGATGGGGAAGGATGGGGATTTGGGGCCTCTTTTTTGGTATCTTCTATATATAATGCCCATATGCCTAATCTAACTCAAGGTAAGGCCGCTTCTGGGCTCAGCCTTGGATCATTATCCTGTCACAGTGAGGGACCTTCCGAGGTGCTACTCCTGTCTGTGGCCTGTGATGCATGGTTACTGATTCGTACTGAATGGCTGGCTTCCTGCAGTGCCTATGAAGCAGGGCATGCTTTGCCACATATTTATGGAGTCACTATGACAATCTACAGAAGTGCCTAGAATAAATCAGTGACACAGGTGCCATACCTCACTGCCAGAACCTGACTTCACCTCTCTTTCTGAGATGGCATATGGTGAGGAATAGCATTAGACAGGGCTCTTAACATGTTTGCATTTTTTGGCATCTGCTTCTAAGTCTGAAGCTGGTGTGAAAGATCCTCTCTCCTCTGCTTCCTCCTTTCTCAAAGTCACTGTGGACATCAGAGTCACTCAGCACTTTCCCCAGACCATTATCCAGGCAGCTCATTCAATTGTATTCTTTATTTTGTTTACATTTTGTAGCTAGTGAAACTCCTAGCTCCTTCCCAAGGGTTTTCTTTTCTCTTTGCCTTTAGCTTCTCTTAGGTTGAATATACAACTGGCAACATTTATATGTTAACATTTATATGTTAAAAAGGTAGGATGCCAACAACAGTATATGGTTGACCATATCCTCTCAAGAAATGTTAGCGTTAATCCATGAACAAGTGGTTGGGGAGAAAGCTCTGAAATAGTAAATGAAAAGCCATCTTGGAGATCATATGGCAGCTCAGGTTGTTTTGAGTCACTTGTAGATAGTTAAGAAGCTATAATAAAACTAAAAGTTCTTAATATCTACAGGTAAAGACTTCTCATCCTCATGCCTGGCGGTGCTATATTTAATAACCTTATTAGACACGGAATTGTTTCTAGGTGCTTAAGTTTCAAACAGCTCTTGCCCTTGAACTGAGAAAGAATTTGTATTTGCTCAGCAACCGTATTGTCAATTCATCTGGGCTTTCTTCACATATAAAAACAAATACAAATGGTTGTTTTCTTTTCGTACTTAGACTACGTATGACAGATGATGTGACCGCATAGATTTAGCTGCAGGGTGTTCGAGAAACAGCCTCAACTCAAAAATTGTTCCTTCCCACCAGGGGGCAGTGGTGCATCCACCTAAGCAGCCTCTGGCCTCAGGAAACCTCTGTGAACCACAATAACATGCTTTTCAGTTCAAAAAAGGACACCTGCAAAACTTAACAAAGATATTTATTATTATATATGATGAATAACTATAAAAACACTACATTTTTTAGAAAATCAATACAGATAGCACATTTTCAAAGGAAAACCAAACACCTCGTCATCTTGTCATGCTTGTTCACTAAACCTTAATTGCTCTCCCTCACTGCTCTTGTTCACCCTCTGCAATTAGATTTCTTCTTTCTTTCTACTAGAAATCCTTGTTTTGAAATCTGACTTCTTCCACCGGATTTCCAGGTGGAGTTTTCAGTTTGAGGATTGCCTGGTCATTAAGTCCTTCCTACAAGTTTCTAAAACCTTCTACGTCCTCTAGGCTTTTCTGTTTTGGCCATGGTTGTGCCAAGTTCACTTTTGCAGCTAAGGCAGAGAGATAATTGAAAGATATTTCTTTATTTCCATCCTTCCTTCCCTGTTTTCCTCTATTTCTTTCTCCTTCCTTCCTTCCTTCCTTCCTTCCTTCCTTCCTTCCTTCCTTCCTTCCTGTTTTCTGAGATTGTTACTTCTGTTCCTTTTGCCTGTCTTCTTTTAGAAGAAAGAGAACTGGCTTCAAATGTCTGGAGAATTCATTTAGAAACCTCTGTGGGTGATAAGGATTGGGCTGGGTGTAGCGAGTTAACTTGGAATATTTGAGAAATAAGTACTGTGATTCCCTAAACAACTGGCTTCCTTTTCCACTTGAGCAATGGTGTTCCTCACAGATTTGCCTTTCTCTAGGAGATCACATCTGTACCCCAGATTTCACCTATGACAGAAAAGTGAATAAATCTCACATCTGTGTTTTCTATCCAGGTATTCTTTCTAAAAGCCAGAGACTCATACCCAGATATCTCAGGTGACATCTTTACCTGGATAGCAACCTCAGACTGCAGGCTAAAAATGGGCTTGTTAATTCTGCTCTCTTTCCTTCCCTGCTCATCAGCCAATGAGCCCTTTTCATTCATATTTGTCTATATGGAACCATCTACCCATTCAACACACCCTTGCCCATCCTTGCCATGGAGTCCTTGCAGTTACCTGCACTGTTACACACCCCATGTGGTCTACCTTCTATTTATTTCCCACATCTCTCTTTTTTTTTCTTTTTCTTTTTTTTTTGGCAAAGGTTTATTTATTTATTTTAGAAGGCAGGGGAGGGGCAAAGGGAGAGAATCTTCAATCAGATCTCCCACTGAGTGTGCACCCCATATCACAAGATATGGGGTTTGATCCCACGACCCTGAGATGATGACCCAAATTGAACCCAAGAGTCAGATGTTCAACCAGCTGACCCACCCAGCCACCCCTATTTCCCATGTTTTTAACTCACAACATCTACCCCCTTTGCTAGTGTTACAGCCTCTGTTCAAAGGCCATATAAGTTACCTCACCACAGCATCACTAAACTATGCTCATGATTCCTTGCTTCCAGTGTCACTGCCCTTCACACAATGCTTTTTCCAATAGACTAATTACAAGGATCTTTCTAGAAAGGTCAAACTTATATTCCTTAGCTTTGTGGACCTTTTGATCATTGCCTCCATCATCCTCGTCTTTCACTCCAGAAATCATTGCTATTCTGGGGCAGTGGACTGCCTTGTGCATCCTCATACTTTTGCACTTCTGTCGCTCTTCCAGCCTTTTTGTCTGTTAACTCTTGCTCAAGTTCAAGACTCCATTGAAATATCACTTTCCCTAATCTATCTACTTCTAGCCGTTAGTGTTCTATCTACTTCTAGCCATTAGCCCTAATCTATCTATTCCTGTTAGTGTTCTAGGTTATGTTCATCACACCATTTATCAAGAATAATATAGTTCTTGATTTACGTGTCTCTCTTCCATGCTTAGAGATTCCTCTTAGGGTCCTCAGTGCCTACCAGTATGTCTAAGACATGATTATGTATTGAATAAGTGGCTTGCTCATGGATCAGATACATTTCTCTGAGATCGTATTCAAAATAACATAGATCTAAAAAATATCATTCCCCCAAAAAGAAATAGAGGAAATTATCTAGGTTCATATTTATATATTAGTAACATGGTACCCAGGTAAATTTGATTACCCTATTTGAACAGCACCTTTGAAAGAGATCTGAAATATAAAATTTCTCAGGTCATTGGGGAGATCTTAAGCAAGCTGAAATCCTGAGGTGACTGGTAATTAAGACTACACTGTGAAAGGCGATCATAATATTCAGGGGCAAGATTTTTAGTTGGCAAACTTTGAATTGGGCAACTCAGTTAATTGGATTCCATCATCTTGGCTGCTCAGAAGCATTATTGGTTGTAAATGATAGTCCTTGAGGAAAACAAGGAGTTGATTCATAGGTGACTATGTGTAAGGACTTACATACCCAGCAGAAAAGAGGAATGGGGCTGCTGTGCCTACTACAGTTACAGAAAAGCTCTTCAAATGGTCTGAGAGAGCGAAGAGAACTATTATGTAAATGTGACAACAAATTTTGGATTTAGTTTTTTAAATTTTATGTTTCATCTTTTGTAATAGCTACTGAAGTTCTTTCCTTTATAAAAGAAGAGAGAAAATAGAGAAGTCTATGGCTTCCCTCTTCCACCAAGAGTATGAGTGGAATTACAGCATCACTGTGATGAAGTTACGCTTTCTTGGTATTACCTTCAGAATCAGTCAAAGGTTTTATTGAGCCATCTTTCCACGATGGTTGTCTTTTGACACAAATTTCCTCCAGAGCTCTGGAGTTAGGAGGACTATGTTAAAGGGTTAAGTTTACCTGGACTTTCCTCAAAGATGAGTTTACTGTGCTAGCCTACCCCTCTCTAGTGCGTGTGTGCCTGTATGCATGTGTGTGCGCATCCTCTCCTTGGATGTGCCAAATGACCTGGAGCGAGAGGGGAGCACGCCGATGCCTCCCACCTGTAGCCCTGCCCAGCGTCCGCACTGCTGCTGCACCTGCCCGCGCCCTGCCCCATGCTCCGGTCCGCTCCGTGGCTCACCTGAGAGTCGGCCCT